AAGCAAGAACATGGACCATAGGATAGGTTGACGACAGGTACTAAACTGACAGACATAGTACAACGTATACATAAATTAGTACAGACAAAAAAGAAATTTTTTGACTAGAAGGAATATGCATGGTTAGCAGCTGAAACAGCGTTGGGGGCGGCTGGAGGATCGGTCGGGATTTTAAAATGGGGGGCCTTACTTATACTAAACTTATCAAGAATGTTTGCAGGAAGAAGAACCAGAAACAATGTTGCAAGAAATGAAGATCTGGGGAATTCTATGGCACTACAGCCAATACTTATCCATGTACAAGGTGAGCGGTGACAAGGAGATTAACTGACAGGCAGTAACAAACAGTTACCATAAGAAATGAACAAACTTTAGCTATGTTAAAGGTGGAGCCTTAATACTTAAGCATTGACGATGTCTATTAAAAAAAAGAAAAAAAAAAAAAAAGAATCTATATAGCTAATTATCATCCCCGAAGAAGCTCCATGCTACAGGAGCCACCCAGTTAGGTCGTCAATCCTTGCCCGACGCCTGGGATCAAATCTCCTAATCCTTACTTATAGTCCTAACACTGGTCCACATTTACCTAGGCCCGAAGACCTGTGAGGCAAGGAACAAATCCTGGATGTATTCTGAAGGAAAATTCCATGGAAAAACTCGCCCCAACAACAGCCGAGGTTACATAGAAACTTTTCTCGGTGATAACAGTTTTTGAAAAAATTTTTTCTCACCACGAATCGAACCCACGACCCTTACAATGAAGTTGTATCAGTATCAAGCACGCTTACTACTGAACCAACGCAGCTCCCTCTTTAATTTGGCTTATTGTAATCAGAGAAATTTGTTTTCTTACTTTGTTCTATATGAGAGTTGAAAAAATTTGTTTGTTGTGTGAAAAAGTTGAAACTTTAAGCTCTGATTCCTCGAAATTTTTCCTGATTAAGGATATAAATTTAAGAAGATTAATACAAGATTAAGCGGATCTTCATTTACACAATTTAAAATACACTTTTTTAGAGATAGTCGTAAGGAAGCCTCCTCAATAAGTGAATCGTAAATAAATATTTAAAATAATTTGAGTTATTAACCACAGTAAAGAAAAGATAGGTAACCTCCTCTGAAATGTTCCTCGTGCCTAAGTGGATACAGTGCTTGGCTCGTACGGGCATGTTCGATTCCCATGAAAATTTTTTTTTTTTTCTAATCAAACTAATGAATCAAAATTAAAAATACACTTTTGTCACGTATTTTTTGAGGATGAAAATTTTAAAATCGTTGCTTTATTATTGTGCATAACAATGTCCCCATAAAATTATAACTTTAGAAACATTATGTCAGCTCGAGAATCCAACATAAATACATTTTGTACAGCATTCATAACATAATTCTATCTAGCACTCTTGCTTTAACAAAATCAAACTAAGTAATATTGACTTTTGATCATCATTGTATGTAAACCTTTTATTAAATGAATTAAAATAATATCCTAACATTTTTATACACTTTCGACAGGGCAAGACATTAATGTATTTGCATAAAGTACCATTTAAAATTCCATATTAGTTTCTTCAATTTCGTTAATGTATAAGTACTAAGCAGTATACTACGAGTGTCGTACAAAATGTATGTTGCACCAAAAAAAAACATACCGTTTTTATATTTTGATTTCAGAACTTTTCAAGGTTACAGATTCATAAAAAAAAATACTATTCATTGGCAGTGTATAAGGGCTTCAGAAGTTCCTCACAAAATATTAACTCAAAACATTAAATTTACTTAACGTTTAGGTTTTGTTAAATGGTACTTGCATGGAGAAATCATAACTTTTTAGAAAAATACCATTTTTACACACTTATTCCAAAAAACGCATTTACATAAGATATCGCTCATATTAGAGAGTTCTAGATAGAAACGAAGTTTGTAGAATATAGCTACGGTGATCTTAAATAGTCTTACTAAATTTCTACTTTAAGTTGCTCATATAAAAATATTTTGAATATATGAATGTGTGCAGAGATTAGTTCGTATAAATAGTTCATAAATTCACCGAACAAAAAAAATATATTCTTAAAAAATACACAGTCTTGTGATATGCATCCATGATGCTTTTCACTTTTTATTTCTTTGATTAAACTTTTATACCATATGATTTTCAGCAATTTTTCCTGTAAGATATTACATAAAAAAAATTACTCTTTTCAACAAAATTTTTAGATAAAACGCTCAGTAATTAAACGCAACAAAAATTCCAAATCAGTAATTTTTTCATCTAGCTTTTATCATGATGTCTTTTTTATACTTTCATGAAATCCAAACAGTACAAATTATAGGTATTGAAGAACCAAGTAATTCTCACAATAAATAATTATTTATTCCGAAAATACATACGAAAACCGTAAAAGCAATAAACAAGTTATTCAAATAATGATTTTTATTGAACAATTTCTTCTATTACTACAACTTAAAAATTGACTATTAATATATGATCATTAACTATTCAAATCACTTAGTTGAATAAGACTTAGGTTTACAGCTGATTGTTCACGGTACTCCGGGAAATAATTAGAGTTTCCTGTCTTATCGATAAGGATAGGTTTATTTGTAATTATATCACGAAATGAGGTTTTGATTAATTATGAGAAACGGTAACATTAAGCGTATAAATTAGTTGTTTTTTAAATTAATTTGATTAATTAACTAGGTACTTGAAAGCATCTACTTGTTAAGGTAGAAGATTTTGATTTTCTTTTGATTTACTATTATTTATTATGTATAGCTTACATTTATCATAAAAATCAAACTTTAAAAGCGCATGAAGCTTAGAGTAAGGATAATAGGATATTGATAAATTTAAATTATTTGAATTTTCATGCATATTTAAAATTTGCCACCGAGTAATTACCCTAACCTTAGCATCGCCACGTCTTATCTGTTCTTGTTTAGTGGCTGTGGGTACATGTATGCGACTTTATATCACCACACATATTTCATTATTTGTATTATTGATTATTTATTTATGGGACAATTTTACAATCAGAAAGTCATCCACCCACCCCCCTCTTCTAAGGCATTGTTCTTAACTGTTATCTACAAATCTGTATGCCATGGTAAAATACATTATACCAGTTGCCTACTTATATGATATTCTAGTGATTAGATCATATAAAAAATACTACAAAGTTATCCGAGAGGAAGTGACGGAGCGAAGTCTTGAACCTGAGCCTATTAGACGAGAGGCAAGTGCTCTACTATCTTAGCCACTGAAAACTCTCAACGCTGTGCGTTATCTAATATAAAATTAGGAAGTTCATGTAGCTGATATTACAAAGTTGATAGCTCTGCGTAATTTTAAGAACACGCCTATCCCAATTATACCTACACAGGGAAAATTTGGCTTGTAGCTGACTTAATCTTAAGAATATTTCACCGAGCTTGAAAAAATCTTGTTTTGAGCATTTTGAGTTACATATGCCTCGTTTTTGTCGTTCTAACGTCTTTCTGGCCTATTTTTGTTGGCATAGCTATGAAATAGGACTAAAGAGACTAAATTAAACCAGTTTACATCTGCTTTCTCAAACTTACCTCGTTAAACTTCAACGTGACTTAATAAAATAAATTACTTGAAAAAGCCATTGAGTGTATGAGTTTGTTAAGTTAAAAATGATGCCTTTTTTAGAAAGTATGATGTTCAAAATTTGATAATTATGAAATTTTCGAAAACGCTCTGTTTTGTTCATTCAAGTTTATTTAAGTCGTGGTTTGACTTTTATTTTCGTAAAAATAAAATTGTTTTGTAAAAACGTAAATCTTGGTAATTTCTGTTAAATAAACAACTGATTTTATTGAATGTGTTATCTACAATAACTGGGTTATAATCTTTATTAAATGCTATATGTTGAATAATGTTTCGTTCATGCTCGAAATCTGACGGCTCTAAAAGTATCGTTCAAAGTCTATGCACAAAACTGTAAATTGCGGCTATTTTCTGTAAATATGGATGTAACGATTTATTGTTAATGATGGTATCTGTGTACGAAGTAATAATAACGGTCGAGTTTCATTTAATATTTACCGTAAACTTTCGTACACAGATATAATCATTCACAATAAATCGTTATGTCCATATTCACATAAAATGGCCACACTTTACAGTTTTATGCATAGAGTTTCAACGATATCTTTAGATCCGTCAGATTTTGACCATGAATGAAACATTATTAAATAATAAGAATTTATTTGATGTTTTAAAAGTAATATTTCTAAATTTTTCCAATTAATTTTTCTTTAAATTGAGCATCACCGTTTTGTAAAGAAAACTACAGTTTTACACTTATTTAGACTATCATTTTCTATGGGTTCCCACAGTATTAGATATTTTAAAAATTGTGCATTTAATTTTATAAAAATTTACGATTTTTCCACATATTTTTGTGTGCGAAAATCGTTAGCATGTTAGCCAATATATCTTTCATAACAATTCTTCATAATAGTCGTTTTATGACTGCTAAAGTTATTATGAGTGCTGTTTAATCAAAGTTTGCTACTTCACCTCGATTAGATCTAGATGTAATTTTTACAAGGAATTCGTGATAGTCTGATGAATAAATGAACAAATAGTTGATATCTTTATCGTACACTGAAATATATGGGTTGGAAAATTTTCTTCGTTAATTCCTTTTTTAAACCGGTTATTTTGTTTAAACAACTCATATGACTGCAACTTAAGCATTTTTTATTAATTATAATGTGACTACGTAAAATTTCTGAAAATAACTCTTTCTTGTAGGATGAGATAAGTTTCTAATACTAGTAAAAGTCATTAATTTTTAATCCTGCTAAAGTTATTGAGTTTTCATAGTAAGTGAAAGTTATGTACAAAATGCAGTCTTTGCTATGAATAAGTTATGTTTAAATCATGACATTAACTAAAAAATCTTTTATTGTTTTTTATGATATTTTAAACAAATTTAATAAAAAAATTATTATCTAATGCATTACAGAATTCACGAATCACAACACGATTGAGCCGATACTTAACAAACCAGTGGAACCCAAGGTGATTGAAGAAACGATATACAAAAATAAACAGGTAAAACAAAATTACTGTCAGAATTCGGTTTTTTATTCAGAGTTTATTTGATACTAAAGTTAAAAAAATTATCTTAAATTTTACTACATAAAAGACATTTAAATCTTGTATAAATGATATTTTTACACATCTTCAATTTTATGATTATTTTTATGTAACTGTCTCATAAAAATTGAGAGCAAGACTCGTAAGATTAATTGAATAATACAGTAAATAATATTAACGTACAACCTAAGCTTTACAAGTTAGTAAACTCTTTACTTGATGAAGATCTTTGTATGCATCTCGCAAAAAATGCTCAAAAGTATGTATAGCCGATGGGTGGCGATAACTTGAGATTTGAGTATCAATCTTCTTCTTGTGGCTGCGATGAAAAATGTACGGTCGTGGAATTAAATATTCGTAGTTTAAACATCCAATCTACACACGAAAGTTGAAGGACTCCGATACAAATGTTCAGCTTCACTTTAGATATTTTTACGTAACTTAGTGTTCTGATCACGAAGAAAGTAGTAAAAAAGCGGTGAATGTAGGAAATTATGTTGCGAAGATAACATTTTTTCTGTAGAAGGACTCCTCAGTGACTTAATGGGCTTTTGGTTCCCAGTATAATTGTCTGAAATTAATATGAGGAAATCCAATCCAAATTCGATTTTACGCGTCCCAAAAAAAAACTACATTTTTTTTCATGGCACACCTTCGAAATAAATTTTTTCTTATTCTATGTACCCTCAATGACAAGGGATAAATCGTGTACATGAACTTTAGGCTTTGTGACACGGTTTTTCATGGCACAGAAGATTATAATACTCATTTTTTGGAGAATTCTGTGTGAGCAAGGACTTGTACTGCCTTTTTAAACCAGCTTCTCATTTTAATTCTGTACAACATACAGTGTCTTTTTTGTAAGAAATCTGTAAACTAGACTTTATTCCACAACAGAACCCAATTATTAAGAAAGTGACGCTAATGATATAGTTTTCAACTGAAAAATATGCAAATAACTTCCATTGTATTCGAGTTAAAAAAACATTAATATGAAATTTTATTTTGATAGTTTATCATCTTACATTAACTATTATACATAACATTCAAAATATTATAATAAATTACTATACATTATAAATAATTCATTAATCAGACATCACAGTCATTTTCTTATAGTCCAGTAGTTACAGCACGAAAAAATGGTGAATAAGAAAATTTTTGCCACCTGGAAGGAAATCGTTTTAATTGCTTACAAATACAGTTTAAGTATAGGAAAAAATATTTTTGTCTAACAAAAGCGTCGATTTCAGTTGTTATTTAACAGGTTGTGAAAAGTAATCAAATTTTTATTAACATTTTGACTCATAACTTATTTTCTGTTGGTCTGATTGAAAAAAGTACACAAGCAAAATTGTTCGTGATAAAATTTTCTATCGATTTGAGTTTTCTCGATTATTTAAAAATTTGTTCTTTTGCAATGTTAAGTTGCAAAAAATAGTTTATTATATCATGAAATCGATTTTTTTTATTTTACTCTTTGCAGGCATGACCGTTGGTGCATTAATGCATGTCATTCATTACTTTTTTGTGAATAATAACAGCAGACTACCTGTAAAACAAAGGAAGATATTTTCTTGTCTTAAAATTTAATAATTATTGAACAATCGTAAAATACGCTAATTTGTTTACAACATTCGTTTAAAAACAATTGAAGCCGTTGCTTTTGTGGGACAAAAAAATTTCTTCCAATAATTAGACTATGTTTGTAAGGAATTAAAACGATTTCCTTCCAGGTGGCAAAAATTTTCTTATTCACCATTTTTTCGTGCTGTAACTACCGGACTATAAGAAAATGACTGTGATGTCTGATTAATGAATTATTTATAATGTATAGTGATTTATTATAATATTTTTAATGTTATGTATAATATTTTATGTAAGATGATAAACTATCAAAATAATATTTCATATTAATGTTTTTTTCAACTCGAATACAATGGAAGTTATTTGCATATTTTTCAGTTGAAAACTATATCATAAGCGTCACTTTCTTAATAATTGGGTTCTGTTGTGGAATAAAGTCTAGTTTACTGATTTCTTACAAAAAAGACACTTGATGTTGTACAGAATTAAAATGAGAAGCTGGTTTAAAAAGGCAGTACAAGTCCTTGCTCACACAGAATTCTCCAAAAAATGAATATTATAATCTTCTGTGCCATGAAAAACCGTGTCACAAAGCCTAAAGATCATGTACACGATTTATCCCTTGTTATTGAGGGTACATAGAACAAGAAAAAATTTGTTTCGAAGGTGTGCCGTAAAAAAAATTAAGTTTTTTTTTGAGGAGCGTCAAAGCAAATTTGGATTAGATTTTCTCATACATGTTGTAGATTATGATCTTCTGAACAAAAATTTTTTTAGGCACAAGTCCCGAAAATGGCTAGTTTTTGAGTGAATAATTATTTAAGGTAGTTGTTTCCTACATCAAAAGTATCTAAGAAGGTGGAAAGTTGTCTGCAAAACTTATATAAATGTCGAGAAATATGTATAAAAAATTTGAGACCGATTTACCACGTCGTTATTGAAATATCGTCGTCAAAAAATCACTCTGTTAATATTGGAGTAATGGTGCAAACACTACATAGCCCCATTACTTTAAAAAGTGTAACTTACCGCATATCTATAAATAATTGAAAAACTACTTGAAACTACCTTGGACAGTAAAGAAACACATACATTTTTTTGAGAATTTTGTACCACATAGTTTTAAAGCAATAGTAATCAAAAAAGTGCTCTTCGTTTGATTTTGGAAGATAACCAAGTAAGTATCGTGTATGTGGCAACGTTGCATTGTCACATGAATACAAGTAGATAGATGTATATGTTTAAGTATGTATAAGTATACGGAAAGGCATTCACATTTCACTCTGATATTTTAAATACCGGATGATATATGTATAATGTATATCCATCTATAAGACTGACCTATATATTGAGAAACAACTACCCGATCAGAAATGTAGAGAGCCTACCTCAATAGTCTAAGAGGGCCTTGCTAGGCTGCCTCAGTAGTACCTCAAGAGTCGCATCACGGGGTGCATTGGAGGCCCTCGTGAGGTCACCTCAATAACCTAATTTTATCACATGTAAATATATTTTTTGGAGCAGTCAAATAGAAAGACGGTTCGTTCGAAAATTACTAACGAAGGGTAATTTTCGAACGCGTCCAGAATATTGCAACTGTATCAGTTCCATAAATTAGTAACAAATAAGAATTTTTTTCTAAAAATGGGTAATGAAATAAAATAGTCTTTATTGTTAAATAAACAAAGGGCTAAAAAATATCGCGACGCAAAGCGTATTCAACTATATAATAATAGTGTGATTCTGTCAGATAGCTCCGACTTAATGGATATTTCCATGCAAAATGACATTAGAGTTGCTTATCCTCTACTACATGATTTTATATATGTTGATCAACTTGAACGCAAACGACGAGATTTTTTGATAAATAGTGACATAAATAATAATGAAAATTTTCATACAATTATTGATGAACTTAAACAAGAATCTTCAGTAATAGAAGAACTACATTATATTAAAACAATTATTTAAAATCTCGATTTCTTTATTTTATTTATTTTCCACTTAATATTGCTCTAGGGCTGAAACACTAAGTACTGACAATAATCTTGAACGTTTGTTTTTTGGTTATGTATACTTAGAGATATTTCTCTTATGGAGGGTCCTCAGAATGGCCATACGTCTTCCCCGTGATACTGCCTCGCTAGGCCCTCCAGTGGTAAATGGGGTAACCACGCGAGGTACTCATCAGCGCCCCATTAAGATTTCTGATCAGGCACCTTTATTCACCGATTCTGTAAGGGTTACTTTGAACAGGCGACGCAGTCAATAAATGTAACTCGTTCAATGTACAGAGATATGATCGAGAAGGGTAACGTCCCGATCGAAAATTTAACTAGGCTGCCTCGGTAGTGAGAGGGGGCCTAGGTAGGCTGCCTAGGCATGTCCAAGGTGAGTTTTGTTACGGTGGAATTGGTAGGACTAAGTAGGAAGCCTAGCTAGGTATCTTCCATCTTACTCTCTCTCTCTCATACCGTAGCTGTAGCTACAATAAATCGACGCCTCGTACGAAAACTAGCCCAGTTCAAATTTTTCAATGTTATTTTAAATGGCGAAATCTGAACTGGGCTGGTTTTCGTCTGAGGCGTCGATATATAGGTATAGCTGATGCGAATGACAGCTATTTCAGAGCAGTGTGTGTAAGATAATTAACTGGCATGGTAAGGGTTCTCTGCATTTTTATACAAGAGTTAAAACAAATTTTTTTGTAATATGAGTGAGACAGTCAAACGATCGTTGTCATTAAGTAAGGAAAGGGTCAAGAGATATCGTGCTTTAAAACATGCAATTGCAAAGGAAGAAGAAAAAGAAATACATGGCTCCAGTATTCGTGCAAATTACGATGGGTTATTGGGTTGTTGGGTCAAAATAAAAATTCTGAGGACTAAAACATTTAAAATATTCTCAGTTTTATTGAATTAACACTATTTTTTTTTACTGTACTTTTTTACATTGTAAAAATAATTTATTTTTTTAATAAAAAAGTTACCATCGTTGTAAGACATTACACTATTTTTTATTCCCCTAGTCTAAGAATTCATTTCTTGAAGTACAGTCAGAGATTAGTAGAGAGATTGCTGACTGCAATGCTACGGCGCGAGTTCACTTTTGGCCACTGTTTCGAGCGCCCCGTCGCGGCCAAGCGGTCGAACCAGGCACACATATTTTTTTTTTTATTTGAGAAGCGTGGAGGGGGTATACCGAGTGTGTGCCTACAGATTCGCGTGGAAATGGGCATGTAGGCACATACTTCGGAGACGCGTGGAAGGGGTATACTGAATATGTGCCTACGGAGAGAGGAGTGGTGTGCATGGAAATGCCGACTACAGCTATATAACTATATATACCCGCGTATATCATAGCGAAAG